AAGTTGACGAGGATGTTAGATTGCTTGCAGCAGTTTTGTGTTTGTCCATTGCTTAAAGACTCCTTTGCACTTGTCATTGGTACGGTTAATTTTGAAAAATCCGGAGTTACGTGTAAGTTTTGTTAGATTCATTTACAGGCATACTTTGAATAATCAAATAAACGCTTGGGACGTTTAATAATAAATTATAATGGTTGTAGGATAGTGCTTAATAGAGAGAGCGTTTAGATCATTTCTATAAATCTTTATGCGAAAAACTAAGACTAAATGTACTGTTTCTAAGTCTCACTATTATATTATATTGATATTCATTGCAGAGTGATATATATTAAAGAAAAGTATCTAAAATAAGCTCACGCTTTAAGGTGGGCAGAGGGTTGCTAGTTACGCGAAACGTTTATTTGATGAGAGGCGTTCATTTTCAGTAGATATACGTAGTCTTGTAGTGGTATTTAAGTTCTATCATCTATCATCTACTGTAGATCAAAAATATGCTCAGCATTTGTGATGAGGCAGAATTAGGATATGTTGGAGACAAGGTACGTAATAAAGACTATGTTTAGTTTCTCATCGTAATATGTGAAACGTTCAACTGTGTTTTGTACTTTCACAGAATGCTCTTCCTTTTCACCTTCTTCCTTTTTTCATCAAATTTTTGTAAACTTGCGATCGCACTACTTTCTTTTCAATCGTATTTTAAACGCTTTGGTTCTAACTAACTGATCACGGATATATTTTCACAACATCTTATGAATGCTGTTACAAAGCTTCGTTCTCAATTGATTAAAAGCAAGGGAAACGCGCATCTTAGTGGTCAATTTCAATGGATCGATGGTCAGTTGGTGAAAGCATTGAAAGAAGGAAATTGGCTTTGGTCGACATCGTAAACTTTTGTAGGTGAGTATGCTGTACATATATGTATTATGAGGTTTAATTGGGGATCAAGTTGTATCAGAGTTGCCATAAACCATGCAGAGAAAAATAAGGTGTTTTTCATGTTGTTGTAGTGCATCTGTTTTGGATCGTTTAAATGGTCTTCTGGAACCGAATGGAGAATTGAGTATAAACGAACGTGGGATTGTGAAGGATGAGATACCTGTTGTGAAACCACATCCAAACTTCCGGTGAGAAATTTTTTACATAAAGGTATAGCTCCAACTAATAGTTCACGAAAGTTTGAGACTCAAAGGATAAATATTTTTGAAGATATGGAGGTTTAAAGTTGATGCTTTACTGATAACGTATTAAAAATGCCCAACGAGCTAACGACGGCTACCGATTGGAAAAAGGTCGTTGTAACGTAATAGTTGACATTAGCTAAACGCGGTCAATTGCGCGCTACGTTCAAAATATATTGGTAACTTCTTAACAACACGACAATTTAGCATTGAAAATATGGTTTATTGTACCGCATTTAATTGTAAAAACGGTTCTTCTAAGAACCATCAAACGCAGCGAAAGGTTTCTTTTTTCGTTTCCCGAAAACAAGCGCATGCGAGATATTTGGATTGAAAAAATCCGACGCAACAAAGAGCTTAAAATTGTGCTCGCAACATTTCGAGAGTTCGTGCTTCGTGCAAAATTTTGAAGCGATGCAATCAGTAGGATGGACAGCAGGACGGCTTCGCCTTAAGAAGGATGCTGTATCCACGATATTTTAATACTCTGTGGAACCCACAAGTGTAGCATCTAAAAGGAAGCAGCCAACAAATGTTAGAACTGCATTTGAGAAGAGACGAAGGCAAGAGGTGATTATTATAGTTATAGTTAGCAATATTTGTTTACATTTAGCAAAAACTAAGCTATATAGCATTACCAAATAAACTTTTTTGGGAAATTTTTACTCCCGCCGGGCGAGTAGGGACCTAGCTACGCCACTGGAAACATATTGTACAAAAGAATGATAGCACAACGCTATAACCAACAACTACTTGTCTGGTTTACAAGGAAGAGGAGTGGAAGGTTAATTTCTCAAATGTTGTTAGATAAGGTCGTTATTGTTTGTAGTTGTTGGTTATAGCGTTGTGCTATCATTCTTTTTGTTTAATAACATTCCAACTATTTAACCTTTTAAACATATTGTCGACAATGAACCTCATATTTTGTAAAAGCCAAATGAACATATAACACAATGTGGGCGCTGTGCTGTATACTTAGTGTTGATTGTGTTATGAAATTTTATACAAGAAACATATTGTACTTATAGCGATTATTATGTCAAGGCTTTTGCCGCTGACCAGGAAGTTAATAGGCGCGTTCCGATCATCGCCCGTTATATCAAACCCCGCTTTACTGGCTAAACCATCATAAACACAAAGTGTAAACGACGACAAATCTTGTGTGTTTACGAAAAGAAATCAAGTTCATACAACACACAACCAGCAGCTATGCGGCTCTTGGGAGAAGGGAATGTTAGCATGGATAGTCGCGATTATGAAACGGCTATTGAACATTACAAAAAATGTTTGAAGTCTACCGACGAAAATAGCTTGAAAACGATTGCATATTTTGGCCTTGGTAATGCTTACACGCTCTCTGATGAAGGGAAGGAAGCAATAAACTGCTTTAATGATTGCTTAAATCTTTCTTCTCAACTGGAAATTAAATATTTTCAACATCAAATATACCTCGGGTTGGGGGGTATCCATTCTACCACTAAAAGATTGCAGGATGGTATAAAGAAAGAAGAAATAGTCTGTCTTTGTCATGTTGCATTGGGAGGATTGAATAAATTACTTGAAAATTATGAAAAATCCTTGGAGCATTATAGAAAAGGATTCTCGCTGATTGAAAATCAACAGCTAGAAGCAGAAATGCAACATTTACAACTGGAGGAAAAGCAGCTAGGGGACCATCAAGAACATCTACAAGAACAAGAACAACATAAACAGTGTCATCGACCACAACGACAAAAAAAAGTTGGCGGTATTAACATTAGTAAAGATTTTGGCGACCATTACTTGAAGAACTTGTCTCTTAAAGTAAATGGTTTGAACCCGGGAGTATCGTTATATGTTTGTAAATGATGATCGTCCAGGTTAATAAAGTCCTGAGAAGGACTGTTTTTGATGTTTCCTGCACATTTCCTGTACACACAATACATTGACGTAAGAACCAGACAACAAATACGGCTAACCTGACGTTTACTCCTCATTTGACTCTGAAGATGACTACCGCTAAGGTTGTCGAAACGTCAGTCAACAACATCAAAAACAGTCCTTCTCAGGACTTTATTAACCTGGACGATCATCATTTACAAACATATAACTTGTCTCTTGTTACCTCATTCGGAATCATGAATGGAGTGTTAGTTGTTTATTGGGAATTAGCAGAATTGTTTGATAAACTTGAAAAATGGTGGGATGCAGTGTATATTTATGAAATATATCTGATGATAGTCACGGAAGATGAAGATATAAATGAAGAACAAAATGCTATTGAATGTCTAATACGAATATTCGAAGAAGAAGGGCGTGATTACTTTTTGGATTCAATGAAAGTGAGATTACGAGAGCTTGATAAAAGAAAAAAGTGCAAAGGTACAGAATGAACATGAATTCAGCTTAAGACATAAAATTTTGTCCCTAATTCTTGTTTTCCCCAAGAATTATTTGATGTGGAAAATGCATTCATTTTTCAATGCAAATGCAAAATTTCAAAAGAATTACTTTTCAATTTTTACAAAAGCAGTTTTAATTGCTGTTGTTCCAATGAAAATCAAAGTATTTCCACAGCTTTAGTAAAAAGTTGACAGTGTGTGTCTGTATAAGGGATTTTAAAAGGATTAGCTGATCTATTTTTTTAATCTATAGTCCTGTTGTATTATATTCATTATATTTTTGTTATCAACTATCCTTCACTCTTGCTAGAACTGTTTTTTTGAACAGGTGGTTTATTATGTAGTGGTTGCTTTTAGTTACTTTTAACAGATTGTACAGTCCCTATCCAATTTCTCATTGTAATAGTCTATCTTTAACTACTTTTATGTATTTTATTATTCCCATTCATTTCTAAATTTAATTTTTTTCCTTCAATTTTAGAATTGCAACTACAAGATTGGAAATATAATGATCCGTCAACAAAACACAAAGAATTCTTGTTAAAAATGATTGAGTATAGGCATAATCCTAATGTAAAAGTTGAACTTTTAAACGATGTTCTAGTAATTTTCTCAGATGAATTTTGCATTGGCAAAGGATGTGATGGAACCCGTGTTTATCTTGGACTGAGCAAGGATGGTTATGGAAAAGCAGTAAAACGAGTATGTCGAAATAACTGTACCAAAGAAGCAGAGAACGAAATGAAAATTTTAAATGAAATCAAAGCTAAGAAGTCGAGTTATGTTGTGAATTATTACCACTTAGAAGAAGATACCGGACCTGAATATGTCTATTTGATACTTGACCTATGTGAAGAATCGCTGGAGGGTTTTGTAAAATCTTCTACTTTGAAGGATCTTCAAAAATCTCTTCCCGAAATTCTCAAGCAAATTTTAAAAGGATTAGCTGATCTTCATAGCGAACCAAATCCTATTCTTCATCGTGATTTAAAACCATCTAATGTTCTTCGAGATGCACAAGAACAATATCTGATAGCTGACTTTGGTATTAGTCGAATGTTGAAAATGGAGGTAAGACACATAAAAGCGATGTTACTAAGGGAACTCAGTATTGGATGGCTCCTGAATCGTATGTTGTTAAAGAAGAGTCAGTTGATAAAGCACGATACAAACCAGAGTCTGATGTAATGGTGAGTGTAAAATATAACCATTTGCAAATTACTTCCAAATTTTTAGAAATGTTTTGTTGACACTGTTATGCTTTTATATATTTTAGAATGCAGGAATGGTGGCTTATTATGTTGCAACAAAAGGGAAACATCCTTTTGGACCTCGAGAGTATAGACTGAAAAACTTGTTAGATGGATACCCTGTTGGATTGGAAGAAATTGGTTTCTTTAAACTTAGAGATCTTCTTTCATGGAACTCCCGAACACCCGAACTCAGACCATCTGCCAAAAAAGCATTAAAACATCCATATCTGCAATCTGCTGAAGAGAACTTTGATATGTTGTGTGATGTGGTGAATCAACTGGAGATAGAGATAAGTGATCCTCTCCACTCAGATGTCCATAAGCAGTTAAATGATCCAGAAAATTGGATGGACCGTATCGACGGAGAAATTTTTAACAATTTCAATGACTTTGACCCTACATTGTTAGGTTGCTTAAAATTTTTACAAAACGTTCGCGAGCATTGGCAAGATGAACCTCACCCACAACTGCCGCCAAGTGAAAGCAACTATAAAAAGTATTTCCTGCAAGTTTTTCCAGAGCTTCCACTTCTGGTGCACAGAATCATAAGGTATATCGAAAGGAAATCCACTCCAGATCTGGGAGAACAATTTGCTAGTAAGTTAACTATTAAATTATTTCTTTTTCGTCAATGATGTAGCTAATCAATCTCAAAAATCTCTAAGTGTAAAAATGCAACCTAGTCAGTCAGTTTATACAGTCGATTATACAGTCGAAGTGTAAATTTTCTGCTATTTATTTGTCGCGATATGTTTGTTTATCTGTGCATCAAAGTTTGTCATGAACAAGCTAATCATTTTAACAATTTATCGCCGGCATCCCTTTGACGGTATAAAATGGTTAAAACGCAAATATATTTTTAACATATACTAATATTGATATGGAGATAAACAAGGAGTGAGTGTTTGCAGTGACGGCGAAGCAACATTATGAAGTGTGGGGCTAAGTCTTCAATTTTACTATGGCGTCTTAAAATACCCCTCTAAACAACGACTTCAGCTCAGTCTAAATATATTTTTTGCAAAAAGTGGGGGCTTAAGCTCTCCCAGCCTGTATTTTAACTGTAAGGATTTTTACAGTCAGACAAAGTATGACCCTCACACTACAAAAAGTATTTATCTTGTTGATAAAGTTTTGAATGTTCCAATATCAGCAATGTACATGGCAATAGATAATGAACATTTCCTAAGAAATTTGTCTCCACATGGGCAATACTTCCTAGTAAATATGGTCCCACTTCGGAAATTTGGCCCCCCTTACAAACTTTAATATCTTATTCAAAAATGTTGCAATTTTTTTCAAAACCAAGATCACAGATGATCTAACATAATGCAAGTTATGTAGATCTATACATGACTCATTGAACCTGTCTTGTGCAAACAAAGAACATATGTTTTGTTACTTTTATATGTTTTTAATCGTATTACATTTTATTGCTTATGTTCTCTAACGGTTCAATCAAAATTAATATTTTACGAGTTTTTTGTCTCTGTATTGACGTATCATATGTAAATGAAAAAACAATTTTTATTCTTTATATTGCAGGAGAAATCAATCGAGGTTAGTAGCTATGCTCATGCAATAAAGTAAGGACGAATATTTTTATAGATATCACGATAACAAAAGGAATATATTAAGATAAATTTTCTTCCCTCAACAAAACGAAAGTTAGTTTGAAATATTCATATGATTCTATCCTTCTTGGTTCTTATGTTTTAGTACATGGATATTTATGGTTGTTTAAGGCAGTCTATATCCAATGAAATATAAAAGGTTTAAGGGGGAGTGTTCTACGTCGTGGGACCAACTTTATTTAGCGACTTTAATTAGCGGCTGACGCCAAAAAAATGGAGGATTTGTTCCATTGCCGCTGAGATTTACCGACATTGACTGCTTTTCCAAAAATCTCACAATTTCTCTCTCCCCTTGAGAGAGTGAGGAAAAAGTATGTGTTTTTCGCATATTTGGCAAGCAATTTTATGACGAAAATCACTGTAAAAACATAAATTTCATAAAAGAGAGTCTCCTGTGGTTGCCAGTTGTCAGCTTCTACGACGGATGCCTTTTTTAACTATTGACGAACGAGCTATATGTTGGCCACATATGAATGCAGATGTGCGCGTCGTAACTGTCGTTTAATGATTTGCTCGATCAAAGTTTGTAGTCTGCACGAAACAAATTGTATCAAATTTTATCAGTTTTAAATTTTATCAAATAAAGAGTTTATGTGTTTTACGCTACCTTTCATTTGTTTTAGAGTCAAGTTCATTTTCGTATACCTGTCTTGAAGAACCAAGAAGCAGTGCATCAACATTCAAAGGTATATCTAATGTAGTGGGATTTTTTATTATTGAGAAAATAAATCAACAAACGTTGACTCGTAAACAAACAACCATTTACAGCTCCCAAAAATCTGTTAAAAAGTTAAATAGCCAGAAGGGAACTTTCTTTTTGTGTGATGTTTAACCAAATAAAAGCTTACATTTGTTGCAATACTTTTTAATAATATTATCATTCTTAAATGTTTCATATTTACATTGCTTCAGCTTCTGAAGAAAAGAAATCTTTGCTATATCTTCTAAATGATAATGACAGTTATGCTGATATTGGTATAACGTCTTCTACATCAGGACCTACTAAGTAATGGAATTTTATATGCAAATATTTACACAAACGTAAACTTTATTGCCTTTTGAAATGTTAAGTACAAACAAGAATGCAATGTAACCATTGAGATTCGTTTATATCTTCCTTATTCACATACTTTTGTTAACGGTCAAAAATGAGATGTAATGAAGAGTGAAATAACTCAGCAAGTATTCCTTTTATCTTGCTCTGATGTATTAACTGTGTAATGTAATACATTAATTTCCAGCTTCTTACGAAAAGATATCTTTGCCATCTCCCATGAGTGACAACGACTATGACGACATTGACAAAACTACTTCTACAGCAGTACTTCGTAAGAAATTGTATTTTGTTAGCAAACATTTGCACAAACATCTTTACATTCCCTTTAAAAGTCAAACACAAACAATTAAGAGTCGTTATATCATGCGTATTTTTTATACGTTTGTAAAGGGTCAGATGAGAGAGTTTTAGAATTTGTCATCATGCTGTAATGTTATTTAATTGCATTGCAAAATATTAATTTGATTTATCTATTAGATGATAATAACAGTGACGTCATCATTGGTGTTTCGCTTTCCACATCAAAACCTGGTAAGCAAAAGAATTTTGTTAACAAACATTTGCCCAAACATTTCCATGTTTTTCAACGCTAAATACAAACAATAATTTATAACCTAATAAATTAATTTTAAAAGGTATCGTTATACGTAGCCAACTAAAATCTTTTCATTTAAAAATAATGCAAATGTTGTGGATCAAAATCATGTAAAAATTTTAAACTTTATAAACATAGAAATTTAATCAGTATGTATAGAAAGTGAAAACCGTCATGTTCAACGTGTCAGTTACATGTATACGTTACACGTACACAAATGAACTTAAATAGATTATTGTTGAAAAAATCCTTTTAAAACATATTATTTGATTATTGATAGTCAATAAAAGCCAATAATTATGTTTACGAATACATAGTTTCACTTAGCGTTTAGGTGGTTTCCTTTAACTTTTTGTGACAAATAACTGTTTCAAGAGATATTTATGATGTGTTATGAAAAGTAAATTATTAGTTTTACGAAAAACTTGCAATAAAACCCACGTTGTCGTTTTCCACTCAAAGATTAGAAACCACAAAGTAAGGTAGTTCAACTCACTGGTTCAACTCCTCTTTGCAAACACACGGTATTAGCATAACCATGCATGTAATATTTGCAAGACCGAATAACATACAATAAATGGTTACGTAAATGCAAATTCTAAATAAATTATGGCTCGCTGAAAGGTTTGAGGGGGAGTGTTCTACGTCACGGAACCAACTTTATTGTGTCTTTATTGGATCAAATATCCCAAAATTTTAGTTGGACCGACATTTTTTTAGTCTTTTATCTGTTTGTGGACCGACATTTGATTCATATTTTACAAAAACTGGGTAGTGTAACATGTGATATACACGTTTTTTCTTTATCATGTGTTTAGATGCAAATGATAATTTGGATGAACACTTTGGATGAACACAAGCTTTTCAGAAGGTAACCTTAAAACATTACGTTCTTTAATTCTCCGAACTCTTTTCACCTCGACAGATGCTTTCATCTTTGATTTTCAATCTCAATGTTTCCGCATTTAAAGTGAAAAGATCCTGACGTCTCTCAACGTCCTTTGAACTAAATATCCTTCATCCGTGTGTTTGGGAGCAGGGAAATACGCTGTTAATACAAATAAACTCAAAACAAGGCAAACATGTTGTTATGTTATTATTTAGTAGCTAAATATAAAAGTCAGTTCACCTTAACTGCCAAAGCGGTGTAGGTATTTCAAATCTTGTCTAATAGCCACATTTTCTTAATGTGCGTATAATTAGAAAATTAAATTGCTTCTTGATACATTCATTTATTCCTTTCTAAATAATCTACTTTACTTTTAATTGAAGAATTGCTGTCTCAACCATGGAAATGTTATGATAAATCAATAATGCACCAACAAAAGTTCAGAATGATGGAAGAATATGGGCATGAAAATCCAAGAAAAGTTAAACTTGTAAATGGTGTAAAGGTTATTTGTTCTGAGGAGTTTTTGCTTGGTATGGGAAGTGATGGAACTCGTGTTTACCTTGGACTCGGAAAAGATGGTTACGGAAAAGCAGTAAAACGATTGCTTCGAGATAACTGTGCGGAGTTAGCCAAACGAAAAAAAGATATTTTGAATGAGTTGAATGCCAAGCGTTCAAATTATGTTGTGAATTATTGGTATCTTGAAGAACAACCAGGCACAGATTATTTGTATTTGATATTAGATTTGTGTGAAGAATCGTTAGAAAGTTTTGTTAAATCTTCTACTTTGCAAGATCTTCAAAAAGCACTTCCTACAATTCTTAAGCAGATTTTAAAAGGTTTAGCTGATCTTCACAGTGGTCCGTGTCCTATTCTTCACAGGAATTTAAAACCCTCGAACGTTCTTCGAGATGTGGATGGAAATTTTTTAATCGCTGACTTTGGTACAAGTCATATGTTATCTGATGAAACTTCGACACATCGGAGCATACAAAGAGAGCTAAATATTGGATAGCTCCAGAGTCATATGACAAATCAAATGCATCAATTGATAAAGTTCGTTACAAAAAAGAGTCTGACATTATGGTAAGTTCTTGAAGTAAAACTAGAGGTCCAACTACAGGTCAATGTTGTGTTTGCATTTGAATGTTGTATTTGGTAGGGATATCATTATCACTGCCACTGATATCATTATCACTTTTAAATAAAATTTTGTTTACCTCCATTGTACAGTCATATAGTTGCGAAATACAAATTGTACTGTATAAAATATAAAAATATGTATGATAATAAATTTATTGTTGTTATTGCCTTATTGGTTTTACGATTGTATGTCTCTCATTTAGATTGCTCTAAAAAATTTATGGCTACAATTTATAATTGGAGAACATTATTCTGATTTTTCTCGAACTGAACTTGTATTTTTTGCAACTAACAAATAAATTAACTCCATTTTTTATTGAAAATAGAATGCCGGAATGGTGGCTTATTATGTTGCAACAAAGGGGAAACATCCTTTTGGAATTGAACGGCATAGACTGGACAACATTTTGAAAGCAAACCCAGTTGGCTTGAACGAAATCAAGGATGCCACGTTCAAAGACCTTTTATCGTGGATGCTACAGTTAATACCTGAAGACAGGCCATCTGCCAATGAGGCGTTAAAACACCCTTATCTACAAACCGATTAGGAGAATTTTGATTTGCTGTGTGATGTTGGGAATGAACCAGAAATAAAGAAATCATCTCCACATTCTCTTCCCTCAAATCTTCGTGAGCTGTTGAATCTTTCAGTAGGTTGGATGGACCGTATCGATCCTGAATTCTTTAATCATTTCAATAAAGTATCCGACTCTACATGGTTAGGTTGCCTAAGATTTTTACGAAACGTTCGCCAGCGTTGGCATGATAAACCTCGTCCACAACTGTCATCATGTGTTGGAAACTATCAAGAGTATTTTCTTCGACTTTTATGGAACTGCCTCTTCTAGTTCACGGAACCATAAGATTGAGTGACTGGAAGTTAAGACCTGTTCTAAAGGAACATTTTGCAGATAAGACACAGAAATGAATTTCCATTTTCGATAGCCAAGCTATAAATTAGGGTCAATGACACTATATTTGTTATTTTCACTCTAGTTTTCCTCTTCATTTATTGTACTTAATGCATGTATGTTTTGAATTCTGTATATTGCCGTTGCAAACATTTTTCAGACAGTGCACATCCTGTAAAACTTGAAGAAGGCAAAGGAAAGAAAAGCGAAGCTGTTATTGATTACCTTGATCTTAACGGTAAATAGCCATGTAACAACAAAATAATGCTTTAACACTTTTCTTAAATATTCTACCAAAAACCGTAATCTCTCCTCTTGTATCTGGTGCATCATTTTCTAACTTTGTGCAACTGAAAATAACGGTTAAAACAAAGCAAAGAAAAGATTTTACGTTTTTATTAGTTGACTAAGTTGAGGGAAGCTTAGTACTTTCCCCGTGTTTCAAAAAAATTCATTAAACTACGGTAAAGTAAACATATTAAAATGGCTCTTGAAAATACAATTATCCGAGAAATACGAAGCAGTTATGGTTCTCAGTGGAGTGGGGATGCTCTAGGTTATAAGAATGGTTTGTGGGAATTCTGTTACAGTGGTACTCAAATTCATGAAGAACTAGAAAAACTCGGAGGACTTGATAAAATTGACATTAAAGGATGGAGGGTTAGTGACGACACTGTACTACACATTGCTACAGCAGAAGCGTTGGTTTCTGAATGGGCAACAACGGAAGAGTTATTGAGCATTATGGCTACAAAGTACAAGAAGACATGTGCTGAGGATATGTGAGAAAGAGCTCCAGGGCAGACCACAACAAAGGTATGTTTCATGTTACGACCTCTTGAGGAAAAAGGTTACATTATACCATTTAATGAACAGGTGGCGGATGTGGTGCAGCTATGAGATCCATGTGTATAGGTTTGATGTTTCCTTGTGAAGATCAAATTGAAATGTTAATTGAAATTGCTGTTGAAAGTGGAAGGATGACTCATAATCACCCACAGGTATTCACCTTTCATAATAAAGCAACGATTTCAGATCATGTATCAATTATCAAGTCACTAATGTCTAGTGTTTTGTCTATCGACAAGTGTTGCTTTGTATAAAGTTTGCTAGGTTTTCCTGTTATCTGCATTGCTTTTCATTTTGACAAACCTTTATAGTAATTTAGCTTTTCAATCCTTTTGTTTTCTTAGATGTTTTATCTTCAACTCTTCCTTCGATTACTTACTTGATCAAGCCATTACCATGAATGTTTCATATCCTTTTATCTAATATCAATTTATAAATGAAATAAAAGAAGGTTGACCTTAGGTTTGCATAAGTCTATGCAATCCATCATTTTCTAGAACCACATCTCAAATGCCTCCATCCTTCTAACATTGCTCACTTTAAATGACCATATCTTTGATCCATCCCTTTTATCGCTTTTCCACATTTTCAAATTTCTGTCTTCTAAAAACTGTTTGAATTTCCATTGCTGTTTTGCTTTAATATCTTCACTACTACAGCCATTCAATCCATGATCCATATCAAAATGCCGCTATTATGTAAATAGGGTCATCATAATGTGACCTAAAATTAGCAATCTTTAAAGATAATGATTTTAATTATAGGTTATCTTGGGGCTGTTACTGCAGCTTTATTTACAGCCTATGCTATACAGAAGATGGCTCCAAAAAAATGGGGAGCAGGACTTTTAAGTGTTTTACCCAAAGTTTGGGAATACATTGAGAAGGTTGGTCGTGATGTAGAAGAAAACAAGAAATCTTGGGGCTACTTTAAAATAGTTGGGAGTCATATCTTGAACTACGGGGATTAATGAATGGAACCAGTGAACCAAAGTTTCCAGTGACATATAACATACCTGAACGTGATGCTTTTTATAAATCT